GATCGAAAAGATCGAGACGAGTATGGATATATTTTTCTTCACCTTTTTCTTTAAAGGGATAGTTTAATATTTTACTGAACATTTTCATCAGAATGTGTGGCGATTGTCTCAAATACATAGGTCGTCTATAATCAGAAACATCTTATCAATAATAATTATATAGGAAGATGCCAACAATACAGACCGATAATTTGTATTCATATTATTGTTGTTGACTTTGATCACTGAACTAGTTGTTGTTGTGATTTTCCTTTTGTTTTTCATTTTTTTTGCAAATGGTTGTAGAATAGATATTGAACTGGTTGATTGAGGTATTCTTAAATTTAGATTTAACTGTTGTAAGGATCTATCTCGTTTACGTTTATTAAGATTGGTTTTTGGTTTTGGTTGTATTGGTCGATCCTTTTTCTTAGTGAATTCATTCTTCAATGTTGTTGATACTACCTGTTCATTCATGGTTGTAGTTCTTATTGTGGTATTAGTTCGATTCTTTTTTTTATTATGAAACTTCTTTCGTAGTTGAAGTAATTTTTCTATTTTTTCTGGTCCCATGCCCCGTGCACGACATTTCTTTCGAAAACGTTGATCTCTTCGATTACCATGACATTTTTTCTTTGGTTCTCCTTGATTTAGACGCTGACGATTATTGTGTTGGATATAATCCTGGTTTACATCCATGTTTAAAGTTAGAATTAATTTATTTGAAATTTATCTAAAATAGAACAACAAAAACGACCCAAAACAAAGATAAAATGAAGATTCGCTAATAGAGTTATCATAAAGCATATCACCAAGGAAAAAGAATATCTCTTATTTATTATTCATAGAATTATAAGTTTGATTTTCAAACAAAAGGTTGAGATTTAAATTTATATATCAATTGAAGACGTTCACCAATTTTCTTACACCGTTCATTTATCAGATATAGCATATTCATTGGTAATTTGTCATTGTCAGTCAATGTTCGATGATCAGACCACATTTTCTTCATTTCATCAAGATACTTTTTTCTGAATTCATTTCGTTGTTCTTCAGCTGTTTTCAAATAGAAAGCTGACAATTGAGCTTTTGATTGTTCAGCAATAGCTTTATAGCGATTGAGTAATTCTTGTCGAATCTCAGAATTTTCAATAGAATTAATTAACGGTGATTGAGCTATGGGTGAGTTTTCAAATGATTGCTTGGACGAATTATAATAAATCATTTGTTGTTGAAGAAATTTTAGTTCTTGTTCTGTTATTTCTTGTTCATATTTTCTGTGGCATAGCTGTTTGAATAATTTTTTCTAGAATAATCCAGGAATCAATTAGGATTTCTCATTTGTCTTAGGCAAAAAAAACAATAGAACATACCTGATATTCATTTGGATGATGTCGATCATATGCTTGTTTTAATGCCTGTATATGATAATCATAAAGAACGAGTTCTATTTGATGTTCAATTTCCATATGTAAAGAACATAGATTTTGTTCAATATATTTCTCCATAAGTTTCTCGACGATGAATGTATAACCGTTGAAATTATTGGCTTTCCTATTCCATTCCATTTGATTTTGTTTTAATTGATGGCCAAGTTCATTTATATACTGACGAACAAAATTCAAACACATCTTATTTTCATTTATTTTATTCCTTTGTATTGATTGCAGAATGACTTTGATTTCTTTTGACCAAATTTGTAAATTGGTCGGATAGATGAATTGTTTTTCTGAATCATTGATTAATTGTCCCATACCAGATTTTAAATGTGTTGTCCATAAACGATGATATATTTGAAGTAGCATGATTTTATAAAGTAAAATAGCAATATCTCGTAGTTCGTCTCGATGAGAATTCAATGCTTCTATCTGTATCGTGGATATTGCTTGATTTAGTATTTGCTGAAAAGATGCATTTTGTTTTGCTAAATAAATTGGAATTTTCTTCAGTGCATTTTGAATCGATTTTATTATGAATTCTTGTTCATCGGTGGCATTCGTTGATAATTGCGCCATCTTTTGTGATAGCATTTGTTCTTCAGTCGGCTATTAGAAAAATAGAACGAAGAAAATTTTTCTTCCTCTAAATCAATTCAAACCTACATACTTTCAAATTAGAAAATCTTTGACTATTGATCGGAGATCTTAATTCTGTATAGACATATTTTGACGTAGAAAAATCATCATACTAAAATATAAATGAAATTAAGAATTAAAAAATGAGCATTACATTTTCGCATATATATATATCTTTTACTTGTTCATATTCACCAATATCGTCACTATTATAAGCATTATTTCTCATTGCCATTGATGGTTAATCAAAAATAGAATTTTATCTAAAATACTACATTGTTATTAATGTGACAATGATAAGTATAGATAGAATTAATTAACATTAAGAAATAAATATTTTTACTTCACTTCTATAATGATATCAAGGACTCTATTTATATAATTTCATATTCTTATTATTTTTAATTGGATTAAAATTTTCTGAGAAATAACGGAGTGTGGGGTGTGTATTCGAGCAACCACAATACTAAGTATTTCAGTTTAGCTAATAAAAATGATCAAGTGGCACGTACTTGTACAAAAGATTCATTTTTCAAGAGTAGGAAAAATAATAGAATCAAATACAAAGGATTAAGTTCTATCAAGTAGAACCTAACACCATAGGGTGTGTTAGAGCAACCAAAATACTATGATAGTAGTTCGATGTTTGCAATGAAAATCTTTTGAAGTGGCCTGTATTTGTATAAAATGATTGAAAAAAATGACAATTATTTTCTTAGAAAGACTTGTAAGATGTGGAGGATTGCATAGTTGATGCTTTGTTTGCACAATGGGTGCTTTTCCGACATGTGATGAGGCAAAGTTCCAATGGGATATATCCCGATTGTGGCATAGATGAAGCTTATTCTGGTGAACGATTTGTAGTGCTTTGCACTCGGATCATTGTTAGTGGCGTATATCTGAAATGGAAACAAACGATACATGATTTATGAGGGAGCAAAAAATGGTGAAGAGACAGAAAGATCAAGTAAAATTGAGATTTTTATTGGATCCCAATTGATTAAGAGCTACATCTAATTTGACTACATGTTTACATTGTTGTTACTAATGTAAACACTACAGAGTAACGAGAATATATTGGAGAAAATTTTAGATTAAGTAAAGAATCAATAAAAGATAAAGAACTGATGAGTATTGATTATTCAATTGAGGAAAAGAAATGTAGAAGACTAGTTAAAAATAATCGAAAACAAAAAGGAAACACTCGCATTACATTCCTAAGTGGAAGACAAAAGCGTTGTAAGAAAATGGCTAAATAAAATGAATATGTAATAGAACTAGAAAGCAGACAAGAAGCTCTAGTTTTGTGTTCAAATTTGTTTGAAGTAAATGTTCATCAACTTTGCTAAATAATAGCTATATGAAATGTGGAATTAAACCAGATCCGTTGGAATCAATGTCATGGTTGGTTGTAATTCTTTCGGTGGATCATGGAATTCACCTCTGATTCGACCTTGTTCCACTTGCTGTGGACGTTTTTGTTGTTGGTGAAAACGAGAGGTGAGAGGTGCTGGCATAGTGAATAAGAAATTACAAAATGTAGATGCGCCGTTCTTAGATACGGCCACATAAACCATCAAACCAACCCCGATACATGTTAAACATAAGCTAATGAGATAAAACCAACTGGTGAAGGTTAGATCCATTTTAGAATGCTCATGATGAGTAGCATTGGCCATGTCGGTTGCATTGATCGAATTTTGGGTTAAATTATCAAGCATACTATGCTGATCATGAATGATGGGTTGTAATACATGTAGGCCAATGTTTGATGGATGCACATCAGATTGTATGGTTTGATTATCATTCTTATTTGGGATAATTGTATATGGATATGGTGTGAATAATTTTGTCATTTCTTCTAACACCCATTGTCGTTCAAATTCATTCGTTGGAAGATCAGATGTATCCAAAGGAACCCATTCATGTGTATCATTGAATGGATGAGGTAATCCAGTTGAGAATTCAACTAAGCCTAATAAAATGAGACATAGATAGAAGTAAGTATGGTCGAGCATTGCCAATCTTTTCCGTTCGATGCTTTTATATCTAAAATTATAGACTATTGTTAATTAACTTGGATAGAAAGTCTTGCTCACAACTTGATTAAATTCAATATAGACTAAAGCAATAAATGAAATGAATAATAACAATTGAACAGAAAAAAAAGCGTATAAGTTGGATAAATGAATGAGAAATAGATCACTACAACTATAAAACAAGAATGATTTTCTACTTCCAAGTACGGATGATTTAAAATGAATGGCTACTGATTTGTAATGGTAACTGTATCACTTTCAAAAAAAGAAAAACTCTCCTTGAGTCAATATCCCAGTTCACATTGATGAACGATTCAAATTCGCACACCAAACCAAATTATAGGGACCACCGTAATGTCGTTCAACATCAACACCGATCGGACAAATCATATTCAATTTTGTTTCACCATGTATAATGAACAAGGTTTCGATAATGTAACGTAATACAATGGAACGATCATCCGGTACTAGATTCAACGGAAAGAGAAAAAAGAAATACACTAAGAATGAATGAAGATAAGTTTACTTATGAACAGCAATGATTGCCATTTTATATCAATCGAATATACCATAGGGTAGTTGATGAATGGAAGAACCGATAATATTTTCGAAAAATTCTCGTTGTCTTTGTAGTTGTCGATATGAAAAGACATAGGCAGCTGGTGGCAATGGTACTGGATTTAGATATTGCGCAACACGATCATTATTTACGGCCATGGTGGCCATGATGTAGGCCAAATCTGGATTTCCAATAGAAGCTCCTCGTCTATAAACAATATTATCTGCCAGTGCTTCCTCCCAACGTAGAGGAATAAAACACCAATAGATTGAATTGCAATCTAAAAATGCTCGTGAGGATCGAGTAAAGATCCTCGAAACACAGGACTACCCGTCAACTTTTCATGAATAATTCGATTGCCATGTTCTCGATGATCTGTCACAGAAAAAAAAAGAAAGAATTCAAAACTCGATAAATAGAATCCCTCTCCCATGTCACGACTACTTACAGGCCATCGCATCGGGCAATGTTGCTGCCGTTGAATCAACATAATCATACTAACCACAGGGACAGGTCATCACATAAAACGTTTGATAATACCCATACCGCTGGACAATTGAGATAGGTTGTATATTCATTGGCACATTGATGCCTAGAACTTGAGTCAAATTCAATAACTGACCATGTTTGACTTTTCTTGTAGCTATTTAATGGATGACAACATAAACAAAATAGATGGCCACATGGAAGCATGACATATCTTGCTTGAGGTACCACTTTACCATAGAAAAGGCCTTCCATCTCGAATCGAGATTTAGCTCCTCGAAACGAGCAAGTTTTCATATAAAAGAGATCCACTAAAATGTTAGAAGAAGTATAAACGAAGGAGATCATCTATCTGTAGGGAAACTGACCATCCATCTGTAAATAGAATTCTAATGCCATTGCCATCTGTTTCGAATTGAGTGTTGATTCATTTAAGGCACATCTCCGTGACATAGATCGTTTCGTCGAAACAATGCATGCAATGTCAGAAGTGTACCACAGATACAACGAAGTCGATCAGCATTAAAAGTAATAATTGATTGGCAGACTTGTAATCGTAAAGCTAACTCTTCAGCATCTTGTTCAGACAAACTGAATGTATCAATATATTTGTACGTGTTCATCATCCTCAGGGCATCTGATGTGTCTACGCCATGTTGACATCGTGCCATTTCCTGAGGAGTAAGATGTGTCTCTAGAAAAAAAGAAGAAGAGCAAGAATGAAAAGAACAAAAAAAGTTTCCAATGAACCATGGGTGTGATACAAACCGGGTACATTAGCCAAAAGGAGACAATCATCTACACCCACCAATGCCGTTGGAAAGATTGGTAAATAAGCATATCGCCCATTATTTTTATCAGGTAATGTTCTTGGTTGATATCCTGATAATTCATGATGAGTTAACATAGACGTAGCCTGTTCTGCTCGACTTAAATCAATACTGTTACAATCCCTCTGTAATAAATGGATTTTTCTAACGTTGCCTCTTCTTATGAAACTAGTTTCAAAAAGGGTCTGGGTCGACCAGATCTTCTCTCAAATAGAGATGCATATCAATGCAACGTTTCTTTCCTATACCACTTTCTGGAACAGAGAAAAGGAAAGTTGATGATGAGTGAAGGAGAGGAGTCAAACACTACAGAAGTACAAGAAAAATGATTTCATGGAGTTCGTTTCGTGAGTTGTTTCTTTCGACAGTCATTTTAGTTATGGAGGGCCATTGCTTATCCATTCATTATTCGCCGTATTTCTTCGATATTGTAAAGAGCACGAGAAACCATATTGCTTTGACGATTTTCAAGGGCGGTGATCACCATATCAATGGTGGGTAGTTTCTTGAAATGTTCCCCATTTTTTCATCATTTTGTTTTCTCATCGATCACTTTCTGATGGTAAGTCTGTACCATGTCTTCGGCGACCAAGATTGTTTGCATAGTTAACTCGTCCAGAACCCTTGTTGATGAAACGAAAGATTAGTCAATATAGAGTTGATCTTCGTTAAGGCTAGCACTCGAAACGCATAAGAGCTGAATGCAGACGTAGAGGATAGCCCGTTTTTGAACATGGCAATCTCATATTGAAGTTTTTCTTCCCCATCGATCGCTTTAAAAACAATCAGCTTTGCTGAATGTATCTAAATATAGCATCAAGAGCAACTAGCGGATATCTATCGAACAGATATATGTATACACATCGGGTTTTTCGAGGCTTTAATGGATAAAAACTTTCCACTAATTGATGATAGAAGGCTCGACAAACTTGGTGTTCCGTTCAAATTCATACCTTGGGATGAATTGTTACAATGTACTTTTTCTAAAGAATCAGTCAATCAAATGCAATCTTAAACTTTTTTATCTGAAATCATTTTTGGATTGTGAACTATTTATGACTTATGATACAAAATACAAAACATAAACTACACAGAAAAAAACGTTTCCTTTCATTCGTATAAAAGAAAAAGTTCGGATAAAAATGTAGATGTATAGATGTGAAAGACGGTGGCTGGATGCACTTGAGATACCGATGAACATTAAAGACGCATTTCATTGATACATATCACATCAATTCTAATAGCCATAGTGATGTTTGCATGAGACCAATGATTGTAATTACTTTTTAGAAAGTACTATAGAGTGGTTTATATTAGATAGTTGCTTTAAAAAATTTTGCATTCTCAGTGTATGATCATCATCGTGAGTTTTCTTTTCATTACAAGTAAAAGAAGAGTCCATGTATCAAGTTCATAATCTGATTCAATGTCATATTCATTCTGAAAACAAAACTAATCCATCTAGAATTAAATATATGTAAAGTAAATCAAAATCAGAGAAAAAATAGTTGAATAGATAAAGCCACTAAGAAACAAGACATAGTTCCATACTACATTAATGAACTACGAGTACAACAATAGACATGCAAACGCTAAACAATATTATATTAATGTTTAAATGTTTCCTATTGATTAATTGAAAACTTTAAAGTGATGATTATCAATCATAAAATGACTTAAGGTTATAAGTACGGTCAAGTACCAATTCATCGTGTTTATATTGAACTAGAGCAGATGTTGATGGGTCTGTGTCGCAAGTTTTCATGTTACATGGTTCATCATCATTGTCGATTTGAAATCGCTTCAAGTCGACGTCATCATAAGCTGTCTCATGTCCACGTTTTAATTTAAATAAAATGGAATTCATTTTTTCCGTTTCTATATTAACGGCAGCGACTAAGTCGATAAATTTTTCAAGTAGACCATTGTGGGCCATTCGTGTCAAATATCGATCCGGAATGAAAATATTATTTTCATCTAAGATATAACGATCATATGTAGGCTTCTCAACTTCAATTTTAGCAGAAGCCATATTATTGTTAACAGACAATGCAAAAATACTTTTCCAATTTCCCATTTTAATCAAACAAAGACTACGAGAAGAAAAACCAGATATTACACTTTCAAAGAGCACAAAATAATGTCAATGAGCCGAAAATTCAATTATCTGAAATGAAAAAGTAAAGTCTGATCAACAAGTGGAAATTTCACAACAGAAAAAAAAACACACTGCTAAAAACCCCTGTCAATTTAACTCAGCAGACATAAATCAATGATCTAAAGAAACATACTCTCAACGCACCACACTTATCCGACAATTTTTTCACAATAAAACAAAATAGAATATGACTTCCAAGATAAATAGAGCTGACTCCATTGGAAATTGGCAAAAAACAAAACGCCCGTCCCCTGGTGGTTTCAAATAAAAGCTGGTGCGTCGCATAAAACGCAAAAAAATCAGAAAAGAAAGCCACCCCTCAAGTAAAACTCTCGCTTACAGCAGGACAAAAACATTTCGGATCCTGAAACATAACGGCTAACACGGTGAAAAACCATATCTCATTTATGGTGAAGACCAACAACAAAAACACCTTCATCTATACAAACTTTTGCCATCCGATAATTCTCCACATCCAATAGAACTACCATTCGCAATAAGATACCTATATATGTAACTATTCTTTGCGGAACATGACCTAAACAAAACTCGTCGGCAAACTCAAGTTAAACCACAAACCAAATCTACAGGGACACCAGGACACAATCAACTATCCTTCATATATACATTATCAATGAGCCTCCAACTAACCGACGAACAAATAAGTATCCATCAACAACTAACATCTTACAAACCAAAAACATAACAAGCAGTGGATTACTCGAAAATTGGACTAATTTTAGTAAAAATCGACCTTTCGGAAATGTACTAAAACGACAATGAACACTTGACATGACCAAAAAACGTTACACGCTAATAATTTCAAAATCGACTACAACATGTCTCCACATGGTGCCGCCAGCATTGCTATCTGACTCGTAGGGTATGCGCTCACCTAACATGGACTATAGTTGATTCTGTTCTATTTTTCCGCTTAGAATGAACCAATTCCCGTATCACATACATAAACGATATAAAATTCTATCAATTCACGGATAAAATCAAAAAGAAAGAAAACAAAAATTTTTCATTCGAATCCAATTTCTATTAAAAAACCCTTCGGATCTCGAAGGACATTGACATTTTCTGATTTCTTTCTACTATCTTTCTATGTCTAAGTGTTTCTGATCATTCGCGATTAATTTCAACATCAACAGTCAAACTCCTAGATAAATTGCTCCACTATTTCAAAAAATACCTCTTACACTACAAGCGAAACAGTGGACTTTCGAAATATTCAGAATTTTTCGGTTAAATATTATTATTTTGAAAATCTAAAAGTATGCCTACGTAGGATAGACATTAACATAAGATTATCAATAATTATAATTTCACAATCATCTACCCTAGGCCGACAACAGGACTTGCCAATATCAGTACAGGTCCCTCACACGATGCATTCGCCTAACATTGAATATAATTGATTCTATTCTATTTTTCTGCTTAGAAAGATGGAATTCGTCTTTCATATACATAAATGATACGGCATTCTATCAATTGAACCGATAAAATCGCAAAGAAAGAAAAAAAAAATTTTCGTGCAAAACCCAATTTCTATTAAAAATCCTTCCAGATTGCTTGGGATTTCGACTTTTTTGCATTTCTTCTCGTGATCTTTCTAAGTCTCTATGTTTCTGATCATTTCGAACTAATTTCAACGTCGAATGTCAAAGTGCAAGCGAATGCTCTCTCCTATTTCTAAAAATCTCTCTTAGAGTACATTGCAAACAGAGGACTTTCAAAATACTAAGAATTTTCCAGTGAAATATTACTATTTCGAAAATCTATGAACATCTCTCCATACGGTACACTCTAACATAAGATTATCATTAATTAGGTTTGAGAAAATATATTGCGTATGCCTACCGTAAGTCTCCCCAATATCACTAATTTGGCCCTAATGTATGTGTTTACATGTTATATCATAAATTTCACTCGATAGATTGTTTTTTTGATTAGAATGGTTGAATTGCTATCTTACATATATAAATGCTGTCCTACTCTATCGCATCAATCGAGAAAATAGAAAATTTGAAAAAAAAATTTTTTGGGCAAAAACCCATTTTCAATTAAAAATCCGTCCGGATTCCTCGGGATTTTGACTTTTACTCATTTTCTCTCTTGATGTTTCTATGTCTACATGTTTGCGATCATTTGAAAGTAATTTCAATCTCGAATGTCAATGTGCAAGCGATTAGACTCTCCTATTTCTAAACATATCTGTTAGAATACATTGCAAACAGAGGACTTTCAAAATACTAACAATTTTCCGGTGAAATCATTATATTTCGAAAATCTACGAATATCTCCCAGTACAGTACACTCTAACATAACATTATCACTAATTAGATTTGAGAAAACATATTGCGTATGCCAACCGTAGGTCTACCCAATATCATTAATTTTCTCCTAATGTATGCATTCAGGTGTTCTATCATAAATTTCACTCGATAGAGTTTTTTTTCGACTAGAATCGTTGAATTGCTATCTTACATATATAAATGCTATCACAATCTATCATATCCACCGAGAAAATAGAAAATTTGAAAAAAAAAGTTTTTTCTCAAAGTCCATTTTCTATTGAAAATCCCTCCGGATTTCTTGGGATTTTGACTTTCTATGATTTTTTCCCGTGATCTTTCTATGTATATAGAATTCTCATCATTCGGAATTAATTTCATTGTCCAATGTCAAAATGCAAGCGAATTATCACTCCTACTTCTAAACATATCTGTTAGAATCCATTGCAAACAGTGGACTTTCAAAATACTCAGAATTTTCCGGTCAAATGTAAATATTTAGGATATGTAAGAATATATATACATACCGTACATACTAACATAAGATTATCAATAATTAGATTATCGAAATCATATTCCATATGCCAACAGCAAGTCTCCCCAATATCACTAATTATGTCCTAATGTATGCATTTACATATTCTATCATAAATATGATTCCATATCCTTTTCTTTGACTAGAGTGGTTGAATTGCTATATTATACTTCTCAATGGTATGCAAATTCTGTCATTTCAAGCGATAAAATCGAAAAATTGGAAAAAAAAATTTTTTTCTAGAAACCCATTATCTATTAAAAATCCGTCCGGATTCCTTGTGACTTTGATTTTTTCCAATTTTTTCTCATGATCTTTCTATGTGGATAGGTTTCTGATCATCTGGACCTAATTTCAATGTCGAATATCAAAGTGCAAGCGAATGGTCTCTCCTGTTTCTAAAAATGTCTCTTGGAGTACATTGCAAACAGAGGACTTTCAAAATACTAAGAATTTTCCGGTGAAATATTACTATTTCGAAAATCTATGAACATCTCTCCGTACGGTACACTCTCACATAAGATTATCATTAATTAGATTTGAGAAAACATATTGCGTATGCCTACCGTAAGTCTCCCGAATATCACTAATTTGGCCCTAATGTATGTGTGTACATGTTATATCATAAATTTCATTGCATTGAATATTTTTTTGACTAGAATGGTTCAATTGTTATCTTATATATATAGATAATATCACATTCTTTCGCATCGATCGCGAAAATAGAAAATTTGAAAAAAACGTTTTTATGGTGAAAACCCATTTTCTATTAAAAAACCGTCCGGATTCCTCTGGATTTTGACTTTTACTCATTTTCTCTCTTGATCTTTCTATGTTTACATGTTTGCGATCATTTGGAACTAATTT